ATTATGCCATTAGTGACAATTTCATTGATGTTCAAAATCATATAAATCATGTGCTTAAAGAGAAGAGAAACAAAGTCATTAGATGATTTGTATGATTGTCACATTTATTTTGTATGGTCCACGGGAACATGAACCCATGAACAATTTGGAACAAGTTGGAATGATTCGAATTATCTGATTATGATGCTATTAAGTTTTTCTTGTTATTTATTGTTATTTTATTTGTCTTGAAAGGTAACATTTTTAGCTTAGATTGTATCAAATCGCATAAATTGGAAAAATGCAAAAATTCATTATTATTAAAATCCAAAAATGCGAATAGGAATTTTAGTTGCTAAAAATACCTTTCTTAGAGTCAAAATCAAATGTTAAACTCATCTTGGCTATGTCTAAGCTAATAAAATCTTTTGAAAAATAATTGTTTTTAAAAGACAAGCCAAATGACTGAGTATAGGTTTTGGCGTCATCAAAAAGGGGGAAAATTGATAGGAATATTTTTGTAAGTTTTGATGAGCCAAATGTACTTTAGATCCCCTTAGTTTTTAGGTCTTTTAGTACAAGCATCATAAATCAGAATATCGAGTCAAAAGGAATCTACCATAGGAAGAACAAATTTAATTTGAGAAATTAATTTTGGTCCTATGAGTATTCATCCGAGAAAGAAGCATAAAGGAATGGCATTGCAAAGAATAACTAGATGAGCCTAATGGTGAAATGGTAGAAGTTCTTACTCAAAACGATCACACTTGAGATCGATTCCCCCCAAGGATTTATTTTTTTTTACTAGTCAAATTCCGCACAAGCACAATGTGCAAAAGAGCACGATGTTCACCAAGGAGCACAATGCTACCAAAGGAGCACAATGCTATCAAAAGAGCACAATGTATTTTTAAAAAAGCACGATGTGCTAAGGAGCACGATGTATGCTGACAAGCACGATGTATGCTGACAAGCACGATGTGTGCTAAGGAGCACAATGTATCTAAAGGAGCACAATGTTCTACAGGAGCACAATGTGAACAAGCACGATGTGTCCAAAAGAGCACAATGTGACCAAATCAGAAAAGCACAATGTTCAAGTCAAAGGAGCACGATGTTCAAAGTCAAAGGAGCACAATGTGGCAAAGAAGCAAGATGATCAGAAATTGGATAAATTCGAAGGAATTTATTTCCAAGTCTACCCACATGCCACAAGAATCCAAAATTGCCTGAAAGACATTTGATCAGAACGGAAAAATATTTATGAAGACATGAATATAAAAACTTATCCTAGAAATAAATTCTATCAGATGAATTTATTTCAAAGATACGTTGGATATTCAATATAACAAGAAAAATAATATTTTAAGAAACAACTAGAAAATCAAGTTGTGATAAAATATTATTTGTCAGGCAAGTTGACAATCAAATCAAAATTGAAGACCTACTATTGTCAACAATATCAGGCTATGAAGATTCAAAATTCAAATATCAAATTATCCCACTCCAACGGATATATTTGATTGCCTATAAAAAGCCATGAAGACTTGAAGACGTGGTGTAGAGAAGGAGCAGAGCAACGAGATAGAAGTGCAATACACACGAAAATTCAAAAGTGCAAGTGCTCAAATATTCTTAGAGACTTAGTCTGAATAGTCTCAAATCTAGTTGGAGAGAGATACAATTACCTTTGTATTTGTAATTGTAGAAAGAGTATAGTTGTGTGCAAAATACTCTAGTGAGTGTAGCTGTGTGCAAAACACTCGTAGTTGCTAAGTGTAGCTGTGTGCAAGGCACTTAGTTGGCGTTGAGTATAGCTGTGTGCGAAATACTCGGAGTTGAGTGTAGCTGTGTGCGAGACACTCGGAGTTGGGTGTAGCTGTGTGCAAGACATCCGGAAGAAGTGCTTGTGTAGTGCTTATTCACTATTGTAACTGTGTGTGGAAAATAGTGAATTTCTCCTAGACGCGAAAGGAGAAAAGTGGACTAGGAAGATTACGCCACTTCCGAACCACTATAAATTGCCTCTCTCATTTACATACTGCACTTACATAATTTGCTCTATCTATCTATCTTATCCGACTAACCCGTTTACTATTCACAGTCAATCTTAATCGTTCAGGTTTAGTGTGTTTTTACGTATGCATGTGACTCAAACTTCTCAAGCTTAAATATTGAATTATTCTAAGCAAGTTTGGCGTGTTGCATGTAACATTCATTACACGGTCAACGTGATACGATATTTATTTATAATCTTGAATATTGTTATTATATATTGAGTGAACCATCTCATTTATATATTCAAGATACCTCTGTCACTTTATTCATCTCACATGCGTATTTAATTCATTAATTGGGCATAACTCTTTACATACTACCTATTCCGCTGTGCAGTTCAAACTTACTCTATTTACTTGTTACTTAGAGTTGAAATTACCAAAGAGTTATTTAAATTGCGAAAAAAGCTTGAAAGTCTATCCACCCCCCCTCTAGACTTTCACCACCCTATCGGGACCAACACATCTTGAGGTGGTGCTTCCCGTTTTCCACCACTTGCTGAGCTAAGAAGAATTGGTGAGGTTTCCAGTTTTCCCTCACACACATTTTCTTTCTCTTGCTTGATCGGGGTCTCGTCCATGGGTGGGACATGTGGAACTATGGCACGAGACAGGTCTTCGGGGTGTGCAGATGAAGCTTCTTCCTCACTATCAGAGGGTAATTTTCTTAAGGGAGATCTTTGAGGAAAGGTGTCATAGTCAGGGCCGATTAAAATTGTAGCGCTGTCTTCGGGTTCGTCTTCTTGAACACCTTCATTACCCAACTGATCATCATTGTCCTCATCAGCGTCATCATCATCGTTGTCGTCATTCTCGTCATCTGCATCGTCAACATCATCATCATTGTCATCTTCATTAACGTCACTTTCGTCTTCTTCAATCTCTCGGCCATGCTCATCCTTCGTGCCACTGATATTGCTGTTTGGATCATTCTAATGTTCCTTTTCTAGCGTGGTCTTGATCTTTGATAGCAGCATGGCATATCGAAGTTGCTTCATTTCTTCTTCCAAGGTCGGATCCAAAGGTGGCTTGTTATGTTCAATGCAGATTGGAGCTTTGTCTCTCCCGAGAGTGCGATTCGTCATCTTGTATGAGAACACTCGATTGATTTCTTCAATTCGAAGGGCTTTGGAAACATCTTCTGTGCCAATCCATTTCAGTGCAAATTCTTCTTCGTCTTGCATAACTTCAAAAGTTTCAAGAAAAGTTCTTAGGGGAGCAGTGCGCCACTTTTGCCACTGCAGAACTCGTTGAAAATCACTTTCAACGGATGCTCGAAGAATTTGATCTGGTGTTGGTGCTTTGGTAGCTGGAACAGAAGGATTCGTGATAGCGGAGGTTGCGACTTGCACAACAGCTGATTCTTCTACCAACGCAGGTTCTTGTGTCAGATTAACCTGCTCTGCATTGGTAGGTTCTTGTGGCAGAGAAGAAACAACAACAAATTCAGCAGTCGCTCCTTTCGTCTTTTCTGGCAAGCCAGGTTCTTGTGGAAGACTTAAGCGACTGGCCTCCATTCCTACATCAGCAGGTTCTTGTGTCAACTCACGAAGAAGTTGCTCTGCCAAAGTAGGTTCTTGTGGATGGGGGACTTGAGAAGGAACGAGATCAACTACAGGATCTTGATCAGCAGGGAGACTTCCAGGAAGGACAACTTTCGGTTGTGCTTCCCCCTCAGAAAGTGCGTCGTTTAGAACTTCTTCCCCCTGTGGAGATGCTTCTCTGTGTCTGCTGCTTTCGGTGTAGAAAGTTCTTTCGGGGAAGTTTTAGGCTTGACAGGGGACCAAAAGTGACCCTTTTTGATGATCCTAGAGAGTACCAGATTGTCTTCTTCGGATGAATCCTTTACAATGATCGTTTCTGGTGATGGAGTAGGATCTTTCTTCTCTTGAGGGGATTTTGGAGGAAAATGAACGGGTGGAGTATCTTCTGCCTCTTTCGCCTTACTCCGAGAGGAGTGTTTTTCTCGTTTTTGTCGTTTCGTCTTGGGTTGATCATCCTCTGAAACCCTAGGGGTTCTCGACTTCCTCTTGGCTTTAACCTGCTCAATAGGAATCCCCAACTCCAATGCCTTCTGCTTGTCATATCCGGAAGGTTTTTGTTTCATATGGCATGCTTTCTGTCCAAGTCGGATTCCTGGGCGCATTAAGACTCCTTTCGTGGCAAGAAGATGATTTATCACAAAGCCATATCCTAACTTCTTTGCAATGTCTCCTGGACTCTTCCTGTGATAGGTGATGGTGTGAGCGAGATTGTTGAAGATGATCTTGGACCAATCAACTTTGAGCTCATTCAGAAATGCATGCAGCATTTTTAATTTCTCCTTCGTCACGTCATCAGTGCCCGAGGTCTTGTGATCAACAATTTTGTTGAAAATGTCAACAGTAAACTCATAATCTAGCCGGAACCACTTCTTTTTCAACGGCCATGTGATTTCTGCCTTGGATGGTGCGTGATTGTTCTTGATGGATTCATAGAACTCCTCTGGATCGAGATGATAATAGATAATATCAGACTTGTAGGTTTCATCTCTCTGTGGAAACCCGTATGTAGATCGAACGTCTTCCGAGGTAAGGACCACATGATGATTATTGACTCTGGAAGTAATGGTCAGACAATCAGAAGATATGGAAGCATTCATATAGAACTGAGTTACGTCAATTGGGTGTTATATGGTGTAAAGATGTGTGATGAAATTATACAACCCTGTTTCTGTGAGGAGTCGAATGATGTTTTCGCCAAATCTTCTGTCCAATATGTATTCAAGAAAGCCATGGGCATCCCACATGCTACCTCCGACAATAAATGGTACTCTGGATTTGATGAACCTTAGGTTTTCAGTTGGAAAGCTTGGGATTTCCAGGATGGATGGTATTTCTGGTTCTTTGTCAGTGGGTGAAGCTTGTGAATGTTCTGCCATTGTTAAGAATTTAAGAGAAAGAACAGAATGGTGGATGAGAGAAGAGACTGTGTGAAGAAGGTAAGGTAAAATGAGCAAAAAGGTTTAAATAGGGTTTTATAGAACTCCGGGTAACCGGGTATGGGTAACCCATTTAGATATGAATTGTTTGAATTTGAAAAGTACTCCCGGTTCCTCTTTTCCAATATGGTAACTGATCAACGTGGAGGAGTGATAAGATCGTGTGCAGATCAAAAACGATCATTCCCTCATTTAATGAGGTGAGAGAAAAGCACTTGAGTGCTTATGGGTGCATTAAATGCACGTCACATCCTGTATCAGACAGAGTGGGAGAGTGGACCATTTTTCTCGGCCACATGATCCCATTAAGATCCATTTAAACGGTTGCGATTAAAAGCTGAAAATATCAAGCATTTTAGGCATGATTCCAAACCCGAAAATAGATAAGATTTTCATAACATAAGACTTGTAAGACAAATAAAGTCAAACAGGTCCTTCTTACAACAACAGAGATGCTTTTCCCGAGAGAATTATTACACAGAACAACACGTAACATGAACGTTTACGATCTCTCGTGCATTAGTACGCAAGATTGCCTTTTACTCATTGCTACCCTTCTTCTTTCGTGCGTACTCAAAGTATTCCCTCTTTCGGATTTCATGAGCAAACACTTCAGCGATGAGTGTCTCGTGATCTGCTCCCAATGTTTCTCTAGAGAGACCTCGTCTCTCCATGTCATCCAGTTCAGCCATTACTGTAACACCCCGTGTTACGATCCCTAAAATCAATTAAATCATTTAATTAATTACCCAAAAGAAAGAATTAAATCACAGGAATTAATTAGGAAAGGCCCACCATAGTCCACGGGCCCTTATCCCTAAACCCAATCCTTAGTCCCAAAAGAAATAGAATTAGCAAGCCTATAATATTAGTTCCTAACTAGGACTCCTAAATATATAAATAGAGGACTTAAGAGGTACCTAGAACCCCCCCCCCCCCCCCCCCACACCACAATAAACGTTCCACCTCCCCAAAGAGCTCCAAGAATTCCCTTAGAAGAAATCAAGAAAGCAAGAAAGCTTAAAGAAAGACCCTTCATAGCCAAGGAATTAATTAAGGCTAAGAGGTAACCCATGTCTCAACAAAACCTATTTTCATAGCTATGATTTCCCCCATAGGATTTCCCCATATTATTGTGTATTGATGATTTGTATTATTATTGACGATTGATGGGATAATTCTATGGGTGATCTTGATGATGAAAGGTTCTTGACAATTATGATGTTCTTGATGATTATATGACGTTCTTGATGATTATATGATGTTCTTGATGATTGTAGGATGTTCTTGAGGTTTACATGATATTCCTGCCGAATCTTGATATTAGAAGATGAATTGTGTCCTTGTGGATTTAAAAATGATTAGAAGGTTGTATCGTATGGAATTATTCTTGGTATATTGGGTGGGATTTCGCATGATTGGGTGTTTATTATGTTTAGAAAAGCATGATAGGTTATGTGCCGTTTGTTTCTTGATTTTGATCCGTTGATTGTCTACGTGTGTTATCAAGTGCGTTTGAAAGTGTCTAAGCATGGTTTCGGGTTCCACAAAGGTTCCCGGGGCGTTTTTTGATGAAAAAAGAGTCAGTGGGGGTAGGTGGGGGTAGGGGACCCGCCACCTACCCGCGGCCAAATCGGGCAACGCCGGCAGCGGGCAGCTACCCGCCGGGCACCCGCTGCCCGGATTTGTAGAACGCCGGCGGGTGACCCCCACCCACCGGCTACCCGCTGGAAATTCCCCCACTTCGGGACCCCGGCTTCCCCGTTTGATGTTCCCCCGACCCCCGTGGTGTCCCAACGGACTCTGTCTGTCGTGCCTATGTCTAGTTTGATTTTCGGGTACCGTTCGTAGGTCGTATGAGTCTTATATATTGCATGCTAGTTGAATTGGTATCCCGTTGACCTGGGTGAAAGAAGTATGAACCCCTTAGGACTATTCTTAGTATGTGAAGGATCACGCATAGGTTTTGTTATACGTTTTCTCCCCCTTCCCAATGTGTTAATGTGGGTTGCATGTACTTGCTATATGTTATGTGTGCATGTTACCCCGACTTGGTTGAGATCAATCGGGATATACGGGCAGTCGGGTGGGCTGAGAACCATACCGGCTATTAACCAGGCTGGTAGAGACCGATCAGGTATATAAATATTATATAGGACTAAGATCCACTATACGGGCAGTTGAATGGGTTGAGAACCATCCCAACTGTTAACCAGGCTGGTAGAGACCGGTCAGGTATATAAATATTATATTGGACAAAGGTCCACTATACGGGCAGTTGAATGGGTTGAGAACCATCCCAACTGTTAACCAGGCTGGTAAAGACCGGTCAGGTATATAAATATTATGTAGAGCTGCGGCTCATCGGTCGGTTGCGATCGACCCCTCCGTGCTGTGAGACGGGGCAGGGTGCTGCGGGGCCGTGTCAGAGCTATATGCGCTGACCCTCATGTATGGGCATGCGATTGGTCCTGTGGCACCAACAAAGTGTGCTATGTGATGGAGTAAGGATGAGTTGTTGATTATGAATATCTTGTGGATGAGACTATGGGATTTGTACCGGGGATTGTATATGTTGGGTTATGATTATTAACTGTGCTTATCTTTCTTGCCCGTTGTAAACTGTATATGCTTGGTATAACTGCTGTCTGTGCTTAGCCCTATCTGTTGAGTCTATCCCTGTTTTAAAAGCTAGAGTTCGTAGGGTATATCTTCATGCTCAAAAGGTTTTCGTATATCTATATATATATCTATATGTATTGTATTTCAACGCGTTGGAGTGGGTTACCAGCATCTCTCGCTGAACAGATATATTTGGCTTTCAGGCACAGAAGAGTAGGTCACTGGAGCGCGCTAGAAATTGGAGTGTAGAAGTAGTTAGCTTCCCTTTCGGCCTGCGTGCCATGTTTATGCGTTACATTATTGAGGATATTAGTTAGTTAGCCTGTGCACCTGAGTTCTCTAGCTCAGGTGTGGCATCGCACCCCGTACTCTGGTATTATGTTTTGGGATTTAATGAGATTTCACCTTTATTTTATAAGTTTTAAATATCTTGAAAATCTGGGGTGTTACAATTACCTTGGCTTTAGCAAAAGCGTACAATGCACGATACCTTTCTTCGTGCTTTAGAAGAGGTGTGAGTTCAACAAGGGAGTAGAACTCTGAGATGTCTGGTTCCTTCCCAGAGGGTGAACCTTTCTCAACTGAGTTTCCAGGATCAGGGTGAGACAGTTTTTCAGGCAGTGATAAGCTTTCGGGAGTAAGAGCCATTTCCTTCCCTTTATCCATGAGCTTGACGAATTTGAAGAGTGAGACTATGGTTAAGTGAGAGGGTCCATTAAATAGAGGTTTGGACCTCTCAAAAGATGTGTCCGAATGACTTGACCAAGGCACGCCTTAGGGAATATATTCATTTCCAAGAAGGTTGTCCTTGATCCGAGATTTTTAAGCATAGGACAAATGAGACAAGTGAAGTCTCGCTTAACCACTTTAAAGAAAAAGTAAAGCCAACAAAGTTTTATTATTCATAGAGCCGAGAGAAGAGAATACATAACATGAGTTACAAAGATCAAGGAATCGATTCTTCTTTCTCTCGTTTTTCTTGACTCCAGACGGCTCATCTTTTGCCTTTTTCAGATTTCCCAGCATCTGCTTAAACCATTTTCCGGTTCATGGGTAGTTTGAGCCAAATGAGGATTCAGGTTCTTCCTCCTTATCATATGCCTCTTTCTCACGTTCTTGTTTCAGAAACTCCATATAGTCTCGATCACGGAACTTGCTAGGATCCTCAGGGATGACTTGAGTAGGATCTTTTGAAATCCTTTCTTCACTTTCAACAATAAAACCAGCCATCTCATCATATTGAAGAGATGAGTCGGAATCAGAGAGAATTTCCACTGGTGCCTGTGGACTGTTACCAGGATAAAGGTCACCCTGTTCCTCCCTGAGACGTCTAGCACCCTCTCTTAGTTTGTGAGAGTCACCTCTGGTGAAAGGTTTCTTTGGAGCCATGGTGAGGAAGAGAATGATGGTGATAAAGTGAGGAATTCTCCTCCTTTTATAGCAAGAGATCCATACTGTTCATGTGTCTGTTACACATATTTTTCAACGTAGCAATAAATGCTCATAAATATGTTCAAGGAGTTATCAATTCCAGGCAAGACTTTGACTGTTAAATGATTCTTTATTGAGCATAGCTCCAACTCCAATGAACTTAATAGTCATGTAACTCATAATAATTTATGGCCCCTTTTTTACCAGATTAAATTTGAGTGAAGAGTTTTCCTGTGACTTTAGACAAGAAACAGACAAAGTTAAACATAGTCATGAAATACATTCATTCTTAGTACGAAAAGATAACATTTTTATTGGATCATAAGGATGAGAGACAGGGAGTTCCAAGTCAGGAGAGTACAGCACACAACTTTTTAGAGAAAGCGATAGGGCACGTGAAGTTCCAGACGAGTCATCTCTTCGGTCACGTCAGACAGATTTGTCTTCATTGCATATTCATCCAGCTCCTCAAGTGAGAGAGTGGGTTCAGGTGGAAGAGTGGAGGACCGAGAGTGAACCATAGTGAAATCTTCATAAGATTGATCACTAGGTTGGGGAACTTCGTAAGAAGGATGCCAATGAGAAGTAAGAAATGATGATGGGTGCTCGTTAGAGCTTTTCATCATGACAACTCTCTCTTTAGCAAGCCGTGTGGCTTGTTCCATGCAGTATGCTTTCTTAGCCCTGGACTCATTGACCAGAAAGTCACGAGCTTCCTTATCCTCTCGTGTTGCTGTGTTAGGCATGGAATAAGTCACGATGACCCTTTCCCCATCTTCTTCCAGCCTAATAATGGTGGCATTTGGTAGCTTGCTAGCTTCTCGTAGATGATGTTTTAGACGATTAGCTCTTTTCTCAGCTTCATCGATCTTTCCTTTTCCTTTGTCCATTCCTGCAAGCTTTTTCCTTTTCTATGGTTTTGAGAAAGAGTATAGCTCATGAAGTAGAGACACAATTTATAGGCAGAAAGATGTCGTGAGAATCTTAATAAAATCTTTTAGATACTGACATCATATTGAAAAGATAATGAAAGATGGAGTCATAAATTAAAAGATCACAAACATGATAACATCACAACTTATCACCGTGGCCTAACAAAGTTATTTAGGCCTTCCTTTTCTTGCTGCTTGCGGTGGACTTGAGATGAGATGTCATCTTAATTGGAGTGCTTGTCAGTGAGGAGTTAAAGCTCCCATTTTGTTCCAGCACACTGTCTTCTTTGACATACCCTATAGGGTTGCCAAAAGAGTGAAATGATTCTCTTGACTCATTTTCGGTTGTGTCACGGAGAAGACTTTGTATGTGTTGAGAATGTTCAAGAAACTGATTAAACTCTTGCTTGGTTACGAGTGACTCATTGAGAATTTCACTTTTCCCTCCTTGTGCCTCAGTGATTGTTCTTTCGTTTCCTGTACTCATATCTGCACAAGCGAAGACAAACACTAGAAATTTTTGTTAGATATGAACTCTTAACCACGTAGTGTATCTTTTTATAAAGATCCTTGCGTGTAAGAATGAATCAAATCTTTTGAATATCGAGATCAATAATCTTTGCAGATTTGATTCTCTTGGCTTTATGTCATTTCAATCATTCCAAGTTCATGCCTTAGAGAGGATAATCTTGCTTCACTCAAGGGTTCCGTGAGTATATCTGCAAGTTGATCATCAGTATTAACATACTCAAGAGATATGTCTTTCTTTTCGACATGATCACGAATGAAGTGATATTTGATGTCAATATTCTTAGTCCGAGAGTGTAAGACAGGATTATGTGTAATGGCGATTGCACTCGTGTTATCGCATTTAATGCTCACTTCTCGTGCATTTATGCCATAATCTCTCAATTGATGTCTCATCCATAAGATTTGAGCACAACAGCTTCCAGCTACAATGTATTCGGCTTCAGCCGTACTTGTAGCAATAGAGTGTTGCTTTTTGCTAAACCAAGACACAATTCGTCCTCCTAGGAACTGGCAGGTTCCTGAGGTACTCTTTCGATCAATACGACATCCTGCGAAGTCTGCATCTGAGTATCCAATAAGATCAAATGATCCTTCTTTCGGATACCAGAGTCTGACACTTTGCATTCCCTTAAGATATCTTAATATCTTTTTAGTTGCACTTAGGTGACTTTCTTTCGGTTTGGCTTGAAATCGAGCACATACACCAATAGCAAACGAAATGTCAGGTCTGCTTGCTGTTAGGTATAAGAGAGAACCAATAATGCCTCGAAAGTTTTTCTGATCAACATCTTTTCCTTCATTATCAACATCCATTCTAAGAGATGTGCTCATAGGAATTTTGACCGAACTTTTTCCATCAATGCCAAATTTCCAGATTAGATCCTTGGTATATTTGGCTTGATTAATGAATATTCCATCTGGGTATTGTTTGACTTGTAATCCCAGAAAATAGTTTAGTTCTCCCATCACACTCATCTCAAATTTACCCTTCATAAGATTGGAGAACTTTTCACACAAAGTTGGGTTCGTGCTTCCGAAGATGATGTCATCAACGTAGATTTGAACTAATAGAATATGATCATTATCTTTTATACGAAAGAGTGTTTTGTCCACCACTCCTTTCGTGAAGCCACAGTTGATAATAAAATATGAGAGAGTGTCATACCAAGCTCGTGGGGCTTGCTTTAAGCCATAAAGAGCCTTTTTGAGATGATAGACTTTTTCAAGCTCATTCATTATCAATTGCAAAACCAGGTGGTTGCTCAACATATATAATATATCCATCACTCCCCATCTTCCTCAACAATCTCTTCAATGTAACTCTCTTCTTTTCCATCCTCATCTTCTTCGTTTTCCTCTATTAAATTAACAGAACGACGGGCTCGACACTCATTCGAACGGTGGCCTGGTTCTCCACACTTAAAACATTTTCCGGTCATAGGCTTGGCATAAGGATTAGTGTTTCGAGTAGGTACCTCATTATTCTGTCTTTGTCGCTGAGCCTTTGAGAATCCGGACTCGGAAGGTGCTACAGGTTGAGAAGAATGGGTACCAGACTGTCTGGGAGTGGAGTGTTGCGCAGGAGAGTTGTTTATAGGGCATGATGTTGCTGTAGCATAGGATTTCCTTTGGCTGGATTGTGTCAAGATGTTTTCTACTTTTATAGCCATGTCGTAAGCTTCATCGACAGACCAGATAGGTGCTAACGTCATTCTTTCCCGGATGTTAAATCTCAGCCCGTTGATGTAACGAGCCGTTTGTTGCTCCGGGGTCTCAGAGAGATTACAGCGTGCTCCTAACCGTAGAATTCCTCAGTATATTCATTGACATTCTGAGATCCTTGAGCACAATTTTGATACCTCTGAAATCAATGTTGCAAAAATCGCGCCTAGGCGCCAATTAATCGGCGCCTAGGCGCTAGGCGCCATTGCGCCTCCGCGGCCAGCCGGCTAGGCGGTCTAGGCGGCCGCCTAACCGGCCGGTTCGGCGGTTCGGCGCTATAATTTTTTTTTTTTTTTTTTATGTTGAAAAGGTTTCGGAAGGCATAACTTTTGACTCGGTTGTCCGTTTTGGACAAGTTTTGTAAGGCATAACTTTTGACTCGGTTGGTCCACTAATTTCTCAAAAAAATGCTTCTTTAGCTCTTAATTTTAGTTTTTTATGTATTTAGATGATTTAAACAATCTTTTGAACACTTTTACAACCACTTTCGTAAATAATTTCTAAGAAATGACTATGGAAACCTTATGTTTTATTACTAAATTTTAAAAAAATTTAATTTTTAATTTTATTTTTAATTAAAAAAATTAAAAAAAATTAAAAAATAAAAATAAAAAATCGGCGCCTAGGAGGCACCTAGAGTGTTTTGCAACATTGGTTGCTCCTGCTCCTGTAAACAGGAGGGTTAGCTTGTGGTTGGTAACCTTGAACTTGTTCACCAACTGGTTGATGTCTAGCATGGTTTACTGCTGGGGGAACTCTCTGTCCTTCAAGTCTCAAGCTAATATTAGCAAGGATATTATGGATTTCTTGGATACGGTTGCCTGTGTTTGCAAAGCTGCCCAAAGTGCGTCAATACCACGGTCACCGCCAGTGGGTGGGTTGTTTCCTGCGTTGTTATTATTGCCTTGTGCCATCTTGGGTCGTAACAATAGAGGGGATCGAGTCGCTGCCTCGTTGTTGCCTAGGAACTTAAGGCTCTGATACCAACTGATACAGAACAACAATTGAAAAGGTGATTGCCAGGGAAATAAAACACACTGTAACTCAATCTCAAAAGTTCAAAATAGTATTTGATGCCCTTTCTCATCAGACAAAGCATGTTTAAATAGGATACAAAGGAAAATAAGAGAAGCTACTAGAATTAAAAGCTGGTAAATGAAGAGACAGAAAATTAAAACAAAATACATGAACAAGAGTAATTAAAGATAGTCCAAGTTTCCAAGTCTTCCAGCCGCCAACCATTGAGTTTCCTGCATGCATGCTTATGATTATTTGAATTCCTTACTTATGTTCTCCATCAATTGACGAACTGCAATGGTGGATGTTATTGATTCTCCGGTTGAAGTTGTCTGCTTGGAGAGTGGATATTGATGATGCAAGTGGACGCATGGATGAACACAGAGATGCAAATGCATGTAGTAAGGAATTGCTTTTTTTTTCTTTTTTTTTTTCCAGGTTTTGTGTATGCAAAAATAAAAAATAAAAAAAAAAAATTTAAAAATTTAAAAAAATAAAAAAAAAAGAAAAAAAAGAAAGATAGGCTGATGCAATGAAAGCAGCAATGTTACGTACTGAGTACGCAACGAAAGAAACCTTTCGAGCAGGCTTCTGACTCCCATCCGTATTCGAGTTGCGGTAACTCCAAAAGAAAATAATATATGAAAGAAAATGAAGAACTCTTCAATATAAAAGACTAGAACAACAAACTTTGCAATGTTTGATTAATAGCTACGGCCATGATTAATCTCCTCAATTGATACAATCAAACTTTGCAATGTTTGATTAATGGTTTGGAGTTGGAGATTCAGATTATTGGTGTACATAGTTTGATGATGGATGAAAAACTGAGAGATTTGTTACTAACCGATTTGTCATGACGGTATGTAAACAAATCAAAAAGTTGATTTCAAGAATTGTGATGAAACAAAAGAAAAAAAATACGAATAAGGAAAAATTATGTGGGTTTTTTTTTTTTTTTTTGTGATTTGTTTGAGGTTTTTTTTTTTAGTTGATATGCAAATAAAAAAGAAAGGATCAAATAATGTAAGAAACGTTCATGCTTGTTGCTCGTTCTTTTCTGATGTTTTATTTTATTTTTTTATTTTTTTATTTTTTGAATTTTGTAAGGGATGCTGCCAAAAACTGAAAACAAAAACAAAACAAAATAAAAATAAAAAGATAGAGAATACTCTCACCAATAGACTCAACGAGAGCACCAATGTTACGTACTGAAATTTAGTACGCAACTGAAAAAACCTTTCGAGCAGGCTTCTGGCTCCAATCCGTATTCGAGTTACGGTAACTCCAAAAGAAAACAGTATAGCAAAAGAGAACTCTTCAATATAAATGATTTCTGCATGAGTTTTACATTACATAGAGTACCCTTTATATACTATCTCACCTCCTAAAATAATGTAATAATTGAATGACTAATTATTCTCCTCACTATCAATTACACATAAATGCTAATTATTTTCCTTATTACATATATAAGGTAATATACATTATCCTTGCTGCATTGATCATCACCAATCAATAGTGTATCACTCCTTGCCCCTTCGAAAATCACCTTGTCCTCAAGGTGGAAGTATAAGTGGTTCTTCTCTTGAGTTCTACCCAACACAAATGTTCAACCCAAATTTTTGGTTGAAAATTGTTAGGAAGGTTGTACATCAAGTACAAGGTTCGACTGAACCAACACCATTGGAATATACAGACAATATACATTATTCTTGCTGCATTGATCATCACCAATCAATGGTGTATCACTCCTTGCCCCTTCGAAAATCACATTGTCCTCAAGGTGGAAGTATAAGTGGTTCTTCTCTTGAGTTCTACCCAACACAAATGTTCAACTCAAATTTTTGGTTGAAAATTGTTAGGAAGATTGTACATCAAGTACAAGGTTCGACTGAACCAACACCATTGGAATATACAGACAAATGAGAATTCCTCATTGTGTAGCCCCGGTAACAAAATCTTTTGTATCTTGCAGTGTGTTCTTTTGGATATAAACTTTGTTTTCCATGAGGTAGTTTTCTTTGGTAGGAGAAACTAATGGTACATTAATCTTTTCTTGCACACTTTCATCCTCCTTATTGTTGGAAATTTATATAGTAATGGAGATTAATGTTTCAGATGGACTACCATGAAAGCTTAAATAATATTTGGAGTTGTGGATTTATAAATATTTTTTTTAGTTTGGTAGAAAGCAAGTTGGTAAATATGAATATCTCGGACGGTGGGAACCAAATAGTACACAAGTTTGATATACACGTTTTGTTGGTTTTTATGATTCGGTGATAACGAATCATTGGTGACTTATCGAATCGTGTTTAACGATTTGTTAATTCTTGTACAAATCGTGTTGATCAAATCAAGTGGAAGATTCGCCAAGAATCGTTCCTTTAACAATTTGTTAAAATTGTGTACAAATCGTCTTTTCGTCAATTCGGTGGAAGACTCTCCATTCGTTGGATTATGTACATGCATGCATTCGGTGCCAATCAACTCGACTGGCCACTGCTTTGTTGATTCGGTGGATGGGCATGCATGTAGTATGCATGGAAAGTATATGTATATACTCTTCTACTCTTTGCATGGTCACATGCACTAAAGTAAAACATGTATATATATGTATATATTATATATTATTTACGTAATAATATTGTATGCATACATAATCTATGAAGGTTCATATTATATGAATTAGTATATGTTATATGTAATTATTATTTCCCGAGATATATCTTATGAAAGTTAAGTTTTAAATTCAAATAAGAACTTGCATGTAACTTCTCTAAACAAGTTATATTTACATCTATAAATAGTTTGGAGAAGCATCTGAAAGGACATGCATTTTTACATGCAATCATTTTGCAGAAAACCAAAGATACTTCACAGGCTTACATCTCTACAGGAAATTCTTAAACAAAGCAACTTAAGAATTTCATTCATCTTCTTGTATCTCATAAGATTAAATCTTGAACCTTGTTGCTTTTATAGATGGAGATTTAAAGCTTATAGGAAAGTGATTACACGCCTGAAGATATCAAATGATCCAATTGTGTTCCATGTTGTCTTCTGTATTTTTGTTGTATCTCAATTGTATTACAGAATACAAGCACTTTTTCCAACACTTATTAGGACTCAAACTTGTACAATTCTTCATAACTGTCATTGGTTCTTCAATTGTAAATGCTAGGGGGGGGGGGGTGGCGATATCAATGGTGGAGGCCTGTCAAAGATGTGTAAATTTTTTTCGATGTTTAACTCCTTGAGATCACGAACACTTTTATCATGAACCACATTCATTGACACCTCAAACTGTAGTTGATCTTTTGACATTGTTTCCTTGAGGATATCTACATGCTTGCTCGAGCCATCTAGTTGACGACGTTGATCTTTTTCCAATTTATGAAGATTGTTGTGAGATGAATAATAGCTACGGCCATGGTTAATCTCCTCGATTGATACAATCAAACTTTGCAATGTTTGACTAATGGTTTAGAGTTGGAGATTCAGATTATTAGTGTACATATTTTGATGATGGATGAAAACGGAGAGATTTGTTACTAACCGATTTGTCATGACGGGTATGTAAACAAATCAAAAAGTTGATTTCAATAATTGTGATGAAACAAAAGAAAAAAAATACGAATAAGGAAAAAATTTGTGGGTTTTTTTTTTTTTTTTTTGTGATTTGTTTGAGGTTTTTTTTTTTTTGGTTGATATGCAAATAAAAAAGAAAGGATCAAATAATGTAAGAAACGTTCATGCTTGTTGCTCGTTCTTTACTGATGTTTTTTTTTTTTTTTGAATTTTTTTTTTTTGAATTTTGTAAGGGATGCTGTCAAAAACTGAAAACAAAAACAAAACAAAATAAAAATAAAAAGATAGAGAATACTCTCACCAATAGACTCAATGAAAGCAGCAATGTTACGTACTGAAATTTAGTACGCAGCGAAACAAAACCTTTCGAGCAGGCTTCTGGCTCCAATCCGTATTCGAGTTACGGTAACTCCAAAAGAAAACAATATATGAAAGAAAATGAAGAACTCTTCAATATAAAAGACTAGAACAATAATATATTTCTCTGTTTTTCATCTTCATATACAATAACCTATTTGTACTAACTAGTAATTCACCCGCGCGATGCACGGAAAAAAATTATGTTATTATAAATATAAATAAAAAATAGAAAAACTAAAATATTTTAAATTAATTAATATAATAATATTTTTGAACTTCCATTGGTCAAGTATTTATTATTTTTATAGAATACAAAATTACAATTAAAATTAAAATTAAAATTATAATTTGTATGGTTAATATAATCTCTAATTATGTGCATATTCAAATAAACTTATAGAGATAATTTACATAATTACATTGATTTATTCTTAATTGTACTTCATCTATATTATAATTTTCACAATACAAATAATAACTAAGATAATTACATTTGAAAGCAAATTTCAAATTTTGTATGTGTAAATTTAAACTCTAATTGAACACATTTTTTATATGATTATATAATATATAGCTATTTTATTTTTCAAAAGTATATTTTTTATATGATTATATAATATATAGCTATTTTATTTTTTAAATGTTGTGTGTGTTTTTTTTTTTATAATAATAAAGGATGTTGTGGCATTAATTGTAACATTAATTATTTCCCAAACCATATAGCTTTATTATATAAAGGATTTACTAATACCTATAATAATTAACGTATCAAAAGTATACTAGCTATACAAGGTAATGGTACATAATTTTCCTATGCTAATTTAGGCACAATAA